TTCCTAGAGAGCCTTTAGGGCAAATTATTTCTCATGGTCTTGGACAATTTCATGAATAAGTGTCTTGTTTCAGGTGGCGGCTATATGCGGGGGCGCGGACATGGCGGACTAGCGGATCCTGTCGAATCCACTGCTGGTGAAATTTCTAACGAAGATCAGTCGAACGCAGTCGCGCTCCCCGCGGCTGCTTCCGATTAAATATTCGATTCCCTCCGACTAGCCCTCATCATTTTTCCTGCACTCATTTGTGTGAGTCCAGTATGGCTAGTCTATCCCTATAACCACTTCCTATGTGAACGCGTCAATGTCGCCTTGAAGAAAGTCGATAGACCGGTTTCCCTCCATCTTGATCCACTCTGCTTCCTGCCATAATTACACTGTCTAAATGCTGACGTGTCTCGTCGCCAATCTTGAGCTAATACTATTACGTATTCGACACTATCTCGACGAACTTCTTAACCGTCATTAAGCTTCTCACAAGGTTTTTCAGCGTATAATCAGTCTTAAATGTGCTCACTTTAATTGGCACGTAATTAATTACTAACCGTGTCGCACGATTGTTTTCATGTTGAGCATTGCCCTCATGTATGTGCATCTTTGTAGCCATTTGCCTATCACGGCAGCATGTGACCTAGCTAGGATCATATGTGTAGTCCATATCTACTCCCTGTTTCACCACTCCCACAAACTTTAATTCTCATCGCTGGCAAATTTCTCCTTCTCATGGCTCGTGCTTTATAGCACAGCTTTCACTTCTAAGCAAGGAGCTTTGTTTTAAGTCTGCGATTGAGTGTCATATTCAGTCAATGAGGGATAGGGGTATCAAAGAGAGTAGTTGTCGTTATTAGCCCCCTTTATATCTTGTTCGCTCGGCTTGACTACCAAAACCCTAGCCATAACATCTCACAAACTTTTCACACATACGTATAGGCGCTTTGTGCGTGCAGTCACTTAGTGCAGGGCTGTCTCTAGCACGGCCTGGACGCAACTCAACATTACGCGAAGAAACTATATGCACCTTGGGCCAAAATAAGCAAGTGGAAGGATAAAAGCGTTCCACGACACTGAATGTCCTCTTGGACATCATCGGTCTCGTGGTCATGTTGCCCTTCTCGTCCGGTACTGACTGCTCTTTGTCGTCTTATCTTGGCGCGTTTGTATCTGGACCTTGTATAGACTTCTTTTTCCTACACTTTCAAGTATTTTTTATACATATTGTACAGACGATATTTCAAGTTCTTTCGTTTAGCACTTGTACTTCTTTGTCATCTCTCTCCAATGGGCTAATGCATTTTCGTCTCTGTCAATTCGTATCGCATTGTTCCTCACCCCTTCATTTTTTTCTTTCATTCGGCTGTACACTGTACATTGTCTTTAACTTTTTACATGCTTACTTTTTATTGTCAACTTTCAGGCCTTGATAGGTTTTAGTTTGTGGTTTCTCTCGCGTCCCTTCATTTGCCACATCACACATTATTTACACGCATTCATTGAGTCATACGTCAAATATTTTAATCCATCGCTTCGGCTGGTAGATCTCATTTTGGTCAACTATCTTTTTCCTCATGGAGCTTGTGTATCTTAACTTTTGCCCACCGGTCTTCTTTTGTTTGTCTAGGTGACGGGATATGTTGCACATCTATCTGTCTTCTTTAAGTCTGTTCTTCGAATCTAATTTAAAAACAAATTTGCTAGCTTCTGATCACGTTTTTACTGCTTTTTGGATTGTTAGGTTGTCTGTTTCTTACGTGGTGTGTTTTTTTCGTTGGTTCATCAGATCACATTTTACCTTTCTGTATTTCTAGATTACTCGTCGAGGGTGTTCTTTAATTTGCACGCACCCCGGGGTTTGGTAGTTTAGTCCCATTCATCTTCGTAATATGTACCTACGTGTTTGCGTACTTAAAGGAAATGCCTGAATGATTCTTCATTCTCTTCGCGTTTTTATCTTTTATTGAACAAATATACCCTTGGCAAGCATGAAAAAGTTTTTCTTTTATATTGGTTGCTATGACCGCATGGGGTTATAAGTCCTCCAATTGTATACATCGTTCCCATGTATTATAGTTGCTTACTATCTTAGTCGGACTTTGTTTCCGTCATCTCGAAGCCCTAATCTGAACTCGGCTTTGCTTTAAAGGGAACTCTATTAACCGATTTGGGGTATTCGGCTTCGCACTAATTTTCTTTTGCTGCAACTTCAGTGTAGCATTGCTCCGGCTGATGTGCTGCCTCTGGGCGTCTTATATAGCTGAGTGTCATCCGTTTTCTGTCGGCCCATATCTTTTTTTAGTTCTCTATTCCATGCTGAGAGCTTAGGGTTCTCTCAACTGCGAGGCCTAGACTGGTTTCGTACCTCAGCGCCCGCAGTATCTATCTGAGGAAGCTTAATTCCTAAAATGGTGCGGTTCAAACATCAGCCCCTCCATCTGACTCGCGTTGAGGTTTTTTCTTTGAAGGGGCTAATTGTTTGCATCTGCTATGAAGTGGCCACTTTCACCTGGCTGCTAGCCCAGTGTTTGCAAAGCTGTCAACCATATGCGTGAAAACTTGTTGACCTCTTGCTAGTTCTGATAAGCAACTCAATATTAACAGTTAAAAATGGTGGTGGCCCATTAGTTCTCTGTTTCGCCCTCAAGATTTGTTCACTATTTTTTTACGGACTGGCAAGATTTTCCTCGAATGCGCTAATCATCACTTTAGGCTTCATTTTAGCTATTCTAAAAACGTCTGCTACTTCCCATCATCCAAATGCATTATTTGCCAGACGGATGCTGAACATTTCTTCACTTATCCGGAAGCTAATTTAAGTTGCGCCCCGACATGGGTGACAAGGAAGCGTCCTTTTTAATTTGCCATTGGAACCTATCGGCACCGTAGTGTGGCTGTCCACAGTTGAACCTCATTTAGGGGATGATGCCATCTTGCTTTTTACTAGCTAACAAGAGACAGGCCAGTCTGGTCAGCACATCTGAGCCACATTAAGCCTACAATCGTGCCTAGTGCACTGGCGGCTTCCTACTCAGCCCATCACTAAAAGAATATGGGTAAGGTCGTTTTACTAACCCGGCTAGGTCATGCCAAAGTACATTCTCGCTTCGAATCGGAGAGGATAATTAAGGTATGATGAAAACTGCTTAAACGTACCTCTTGTGCTGCTAGAAGACGACTTCCATAGACACTTGATCAGCCTCCCAAAGATTGCGCTTTATATTTCTGGTCCTGATTGTGACCCTTTGAAAAAATTGATACTACATGATGTATCATAATCTATCTTTTACTTGATTTTCAAAAATATACATTTTTTAGTTTGTGTTACTCCATTCTCTTTGTTGGCAATCGGCTTTAGTGGTTTTTGTTTGTCTAACCTCTAAGTTATATAAACATTTCGCCTAAGCTAATAAAAAACTCGTTGAATTTTCCCACTGATATGAGTAGAGCTGGCTTTTCCATTAAATTTCACAGCCAGGATGATTTGCAGCTTTGACCTCGCCTATGCCTTACCAACGTCCCCAGCGGGAGTCGAACTATGATAGTGCGGAGTGTAATCTTGATCCATTAACCACTACGCCACATTTCCTTGGTTCACAGTGCAGATGTGAATTTCAAGAATGCCAGGCATTTTCCATATCACATTCTTCGGTGGGATTGTCGATGAAGTAAACTTTTGAAATCATTCCTCGCCCTTATTTTTGCCCTACCTAGTGTCGCATCTCTTCCTCTCAACCCCACTTCATATGACCCATTCACTTATTCATACAATTATGTCCTTTTGTTTGCTCCAATCTCGCCAAAATTGTGTCGCTACAAATGGGTTTAGTGAAGCATAATCATCTTCACGATCGGTTCCATATGTCATGCAGGGATTCTGACCTACAGTTTGCACCAGTTACGCATCGCCTGTCGGTTGGTCACTACTAAACATCAAGGCCACATGAAATCTGTCTGCCTAAAGGCCTCCAATTCTCTCCCCGACTACGCTATATTCGAGGATTTACAGCAGATAATCCCCTTATCCATACCAATGCCTAGGCATATTCCTTTCCCTAGGATTCATACTCAAGACTCGGTTGTCCTCTTGTGCCTCATTCTTTGGGGCCGTGTCTGAATTATGTCATAAGAGTTGGCGTGAAAATGCATCACTTCCTTTTCCTCCAGAATCGCGATAAACACAATCCTTTCGTCCTTCATTCAAGTAACTTGTATACGGCGTAATCGGGCACATAATTGAGTGCTCGTAGGCAGTCAGATTTCAGACAGCCAAACAGGAATCTTGATGTTTAGCAATGACCAAATGATAAGCGGTGTGGGAGAACGGGATCAGACTGTAGGTCAGGATCCCTGGAACCGATGGAAGAGATGATTATGCTTAACTAAACCCACTTGTAGCGACATTGGAGTAAGCAAGAGCACATAATTGTGTGAATAAGTGGATGGGTCATTAAGTGGGGTTGAGAGGAATAGATGCGACACTAGGAGGTAGGACCAAAAATAGGGGCGAGGAACGATACTCTGGGCTTGTAACTCTGCGCTAACGATGGCGCCTCTAATTAGACAAGCCGACGGAGCTTTTGGAAATGTGCCAAGTCATTGGTCCTGTGTTGGAAGTCACGAATACAATTTTAGAGGCCACAGAACCAGGTCCTTTCCATAAGGTCTTCCTGACGCTCCGACTAAGTTGCAAAATCAACGCTAAATAACTATTAACCAAAATAACCTATTTCCCTCAATAATATATGGTTCCTCTAATTTCTGGAAATAATTGACTAAAAATTTAACTTGCTTTGTCCAAACATCACTGCCTCTTGTTATGTAAGAACTAATTATTTACATCATAAGTCTACAGTGGTTTAAAAAGGTGAAGTGGCATGATTTACTCGTAATGGTATTCTTTGTGTGGTTGTATTTGCTTAATTGTTGGCAATATGTATTACCTAGAGGTATGAAGACTGAGATGATGTAACCCACATTTCGGACGCAACCTCCTTTCGTCATTCACGCATGGTTCTACCTCGCCAAAAGTTGGTCGTGCTATATGACATATTCACCCCATTCCATTAAGGTGATGGTAGTACCTTAAGAGAGAACTCGATGGATAAGCCTTGGAAAAAAAAAGCCACATCCCTTCGGCCAAAAGTTGTCCTGGGATATGGTTTCCCTTCCTTCAGTGATGAGCTGCAGCTTGAAGTTGAGGATGG